CTTTCTTTACCTAGAAATCCAAACTTCCGTATTTTGGGTACTTTAGTGGGCTACTACTATGTCAAATAGTCCAATAGAAAGAACTATTTAGCATCGAGGTTTTGTCTGCGATGTGTCCAAGTTTTCACTAGAAAGCATGTACGTTAAGTTGCACTTACTATGCTTTTATTTGTAACTTATATTAATGTTCATAGTCTTCATTATGAACCTATAACTAAGATTTAGTAGTAACAAGGTTTTTAAGCCGCGTGTTGCGGCGAGAGTTTATGTGATAATTTTTGTAATAAAATGTTTTTGATGTATTAAGGCATTACACTTTAAACCACCTTGGCCCTATTAGGCATCCATCTTGATTACCGGATTAGAGTCAATAATTCTTATGCCTAGAAAATCTTTAAATACCATAAAATAAATATAATAAATTCGTAAATAGAATACCCTTGCACTTTGTTCCTTAAATGAAAATAGATATCATGAAATCCATCCAAAGCATTCCAAAACATAGTAAATTAATTTTAAAAAAGTTTCTTAAATGCAATATGATATCATGAAATACAAAAATAACATGAGACCGTAAAACTAATGTCGCTTTTAGCAAAGTACATACATTAAAAGTGTCATTTTTAACAATGTATTTGATGAGGTTTCTCTTTATGTGTACACATTTATTATTTCCTGTAAAAAATATTTATAATATTTTCACATTCAACTTGTAACTCAAATCACATAAGAATCTTGTCTTGGAAAATACATGACAATACCAATTGAAATACACATAGACATGCCACCCTAATGAAAATGACATTAAACAAACATGAAGTAGCACAATTCTGAATGCTTATTATATATGACATAATTAAAGTATTCCTAAAAGATATATCTTAAGTAAAGACAACAAAAACACAAATAAATGTCTTCTTAACAAGCCATAACTTTGATATTTGTATTCGAGTTTGTTTTATAAAGAAAAACATATTTAAAAATTATGTTGACCACAAATATACATCAGGAAAAGTAATATAGAATATGATAAACTTTGACTGAGCTTAAAACATAAGTTCCTTTATGAGAATCAATGCATTGAGATTTGCTATGTTTTTTGTCTTCTTGGCTTAAAAAAACTATTAATCTCAAAAGAGAAGTAACACAGAGCATAAAATTGCAACATCATAAAAGGAATGGTATGGACATATCAACCATACCTGTGCCTTTTGAACTTTTATTTTCTTGAAAATTATAAGCATTCATGACGAGGAGATTCTATCCATATTATGCCCCTACACATAGAAAAAAGAACTCATTAACTTTTTTTTTTAATCTTTCCAAGCACTTTTAAATCCTAAAGAGATTGGCAAAAGATTATTTGAAAGAAAACATTTACATTTTTTCTTGCAGCAAATAGTTTGCAAAGGGTGATAGCCACTGTAAATACAATAGTTTCAACTCTTAAGCACATGGAAATCACTTAATGTTGTTTACGTAACCTAAACAAAGTAACCAAATGATGTTTATATCCTTTTAAAAAAATTTAAATCCTAAACAAAAGTTGTTTCTATCCTAAAACAATTGTTCAGATTAATATTTTAGTATTAAAACAAATATCCATTTTTTTCTTGACCAAAACACTAAAAATGATAGTAAATTCAAAACATTTTCACTAAATAATCTACTTCGACACCCATGCATACCTCTGAACATGCCATATACTATAATTTTTACATCCCTCTTTTTTGTTGGAAGAAATCTATTTAATATGTAATTAAAAAAATATAAAAAACATGTAGTTTAGGTATAAAAGAGAAGGAAAGAAAAACAAACATAAAAAACCTATACATAACTAAAGAAGGGGAAAGAAATTGCCCAAAGTAGCTTCAATTTGAACTCATTTGAGCAATTAGATGAAAGCAACTTACTGGTTCAGAAGTAATGGTGCATGAGGGCATGTTAAAAGAGAAAGAAAATTAGATTCAGTGATGAAAATTCGAAGACTGTTTCCAAATGAACTCCTTTGGTATCCTTGTCTTGTATAGTTCCCCAATCTTTGTCCATTTTATGTTTCATTTTATTAGTTTAGAGTATGGAATTAGTATATTACCATGGAAATTGAAAATCATAACTACAATTTGTTTGTAATTTATGCCCCTTGGATTTTCTCTCTCATGGTGTTGGGGGTGACTATTTAGGGTAAATGCAAATTCAGAAGGTAATTAAAATGAAATTATGGACAAATGGTGGTATTGTCAATCTTTTACGACCCAAAACACCAAGTGGATGCAAAACGACATAAATTTAGGTTAGAAATGGTACCATTAGTTAGAGCTTTGAAAGAGAATCTAGACTCACCTTTTCCTTCAAGCCAGATAATACTTTCTCAACTACAAAAGTTTTTGATCTATAACACATAAAAATTCATCATGGATCTCATTCGTTTACCTGTAGTTTGTTATATGTAAATAGACGAAAATGTTCTTTTACCTGGGATTTGATTTCTTGCTAACTTTATCATTTATTCTTACGATGATAACGGAAATCATCTCCGGTTAGTATCCCAAAATCCATCAAACACAAATTGAACCCAATATTGCAGATATCGATTTATCTTTTGATGAAAATGAGGCTTTAAATGAAAATAGGAACATAAAGTTCTGATGGATTTGCATAATATGCTAGTGCGTCGATCTTTTTGTCATCTAGGAATTGATGGTGGTGACGGCGGTGGTAAAGGGCATGATACGATGACGTTTTAGGTTTTTCTCATAGACAGATGGAAGTAGAGCAAAGGTTGTGGTAGTGGTGGGTTGCTCACCAATAACAAAAAGAGAAGAGAGATGAAGAAGAGATATGACAATTACCTTGAAGACATTCCCATGACCGATAGTGTGTCTGTGGAAGTTGTGGTTGGTGAGGGATAATGAGAGACATATATATATATATATATATATATATATATATATATATATAAATATGTATATATATATATATATGCTATATATATATATATATATATATATATATACATATTTATATATATATATATGCAAGAAACAATGTTGAGGAAGTATTAATACATTCAAGCATAGTGAGGGTGTAGCTTGATGTGGTCATATCTACAGTATCAAAACGTTCGATAAACGTTGATCTTTACAATTAAGATATAATAATAATTTATCTACTTATAGGAGTGATGCATAGGCATGGTCTTAGTGATGTCTTTAAAGTGATTTTTCTAAGCAATATACATTTTATACCACATAGATGCTACCTCCAATATGATCTTACTTGGTCATTCTGTATTTGATAGAACTTGGCATTCTTTATGATTATTAAAGAACCCAGAAATAGATAATATAACTGTATAATTATGAATGAATACTGAAGTGTAGTAATATTTGTAATTAGGTCATTAAAAAGGGAAAAATGAGTGCAAGGTTATTAAAAGGTTGAATATATGTTGAAAGCTTATATCAAAATTATATATATATATATATATATATATATATATGTGTGTGTGTGTGTGCATGTGTGTGTGTGTTAAAAATATATTTGGTAAATACAACTTGAAAATCTTGGCATAAGTATTATTAATGAAAGTTTGTATCGATCGGATATACTTCAAGTATAAAGAACGAAAATAAAAAAAACAGAGAACAGAAAGTAAATAACACAGGGAGTTCTCCAAATTGTTCTTTCACCAAAAAAGTGTTTTTGTCTTCACTAAGAAGAAAGGTTGTCACAAAGATGACTGGCACAAAGTCGAACTTTCTATATCAGGGTTTTGATGGATATCTTGTCTAAGTCCATAACTATATTTGGTATGTACTTAACCCGACCCGGCATGGTCCATTTGGGTTGCATGACATCATGCACTTGGATAGACTAAATGAGAGAATAAGACACTTATGGTTTATTAATATATTATAAGTTCTAATATATTAATAATAAGAATAATAATATTTAGTTAGTATTGATCAATAATTAATTTAGAATTAATTATGTGATCAAAACAAGACTAATTAAATATATGTGTTGATTGTGTCAATCATCCATAACTTATATAGTAGGCCAAGGCTCCACGGATTATCAAGTTGGGTTAAACCCATAAGATGCTCCATGGATGCTCCATGGGGGTTACTTAACCCATGGGTCATGGAAATAAAAGGTCATGACAATTAGGTTTTACCCTAATTGTAACATACTATATAAAGAAGTTATTCATCACCATTTTCGGCCACTAGAGTGAATCAAAGAGGGCTAGCCGAAAATCCAAGTGTTCTTATTCTGTTAGAGTTTATTCCAAGTGTACTTGGTTTTGTCTGAAGCATTTGAGGCATCACACTTGAAGTGCTAGGCTCACAAGGTTTCAAAGGAATCCAAGCGACAAAAACGTATGTAATTCTTACTATGTATTAGAATAAAAGATCCCCATGTATGCTAGATGGGATTCTGAACCTTGGAAAATAATTTTTGCATGTATTTTAGTCAAACATAGATCCAAAGTTTCTAGGGTTGCATGTACACCATAGGAGTGTTAGAATGCTGAAAACCCAACATGTTTACCCTAATGATGATCATATACTAATGTGTACATATGTATACCATGATTAAGGAATTGTATCGTATCTATACGAAGAACCAATCTTCATAAAAAAGATATAGGATTTGCTATCTATTCTATACTTATCTATAGCATTACCTAATATAAAAAAGATTAAATTGAATAATTATACTGTGCAATGATGTTGATAAGCTTGATACATTGGCGCTAATAGTATAGTAGACGCTGACGCTGGTAGATAGTGTATGTAGAGTTTGACTCTACAGATTATAAGGTGTGACCTTATAATCTCCGCTCATCCAATGATGTCAAAACTAATATTCTTATTTAGAATAATCAGAAGAACCATTATTGAACTTGTCAGCTTCTTTCAAGATTTAAAGCTTGACCAATCTGAACTGATCAAGTTTAAGTTCATCCAATCTTCTACTAAGCTCCAGAGATATCAGCATGCGATATCCTCTCTCCAGTTCAAAGTAACTAAATCTCTCCATGCGAAGATAAACCATCCTTTTAGTGGGGGTAGAAGGAAGATCATTAATTCTTTGAAAGCACATGTGTCAAGATAAATTATTCCATGCTCTATTTCTAGAGAGAACATGTATTGGACTGGTTTAACACCCGCTAGAAATTCATTATGTATGTACCGAATGTCATAAAGAAGAAGAAAATTGGTGTTCTTGGACTGTCTAGGAGCACCTGTTCTTCCTAAAGAGGAGGGTCTAAAGAGACCTACTAATGGAAGAAGGCTTAGCTTCTTGACATTGTTGAGCAGTTGCGGAATTGCCAATGTTACTTCCTGAGCATGGATACCCTTATGTTTGTCAATGATTTCTTTAATTTGCATCTACTCACTGTAGCCAAATTTTACTAGCTCACGAGCGAATAGAACTTCAGTGTATTCATATTTAATTTTCTTCCTGAATAGATGAAGCTTTAGTGACTCGTTCCTTGGTTTGGTGCATCTTACTTTGATAACATGATTAAGCTTTGTTCTGCGACTAAGCACGTCTCCAAACTTCTTCCTGTCTATACGATCATTGTGGTCTGAAACTTTATGTTTCTTTTCCATATTATTATTGAAGTGATGAATATTCTTGACTTGATTATCAGCATTTTATCAGCAGAAGCAAGAGCTTGAACAAGTTTGGTAGACATACGTTCTTCGTTTCCAACTTCTTTCTTTTGTCGAATAGCAAAATTGTACTCTAACATGATTTCTCAAAACTTCCTAATAAGGTAATCTCCATTTTTTTGCTAACTTATTTAGATCAAAATTGATTTTTCATTTCTTGCTTTTCATGGAAGGAGGGGGTGATGTAGGATCACCAGCAACAGTACTTCCAACTTTAGTATCATGAGCTCCCTTTGAGAATGAAGCCATCCTCATTCAAGGATTAAGCTGATCATTGTCAGAATGAATGTCACTATGAGTTTCTAGATGAATCTCCCCTCTAAGTAAGGATTGATATGGAAAAAATTCAGTAAAAACAATAGACACAATAGTTTGTGGCTTGAAACCAGGATCATGAACCCTTCGTAGTCGTCGGTCTTTGATTGTTCATTAGTGTCTTGAATACGCTGATTAGTTTTTGTTTTAATATCTGGAATATTAGCGACATCAATTTCTTTTTAAAGGTTAACCCTTCCAGTTTCATACATCTTAGGTTGAGATGGAGTTAATGCAATCACCACCATTTGCTTTGCCTTTTTCTGATCTAGATCCCCTTGATCATTCTCCCTCCTTTTAGCATCATAAGATTGGGGATGAGAGTTAGGAGGTGGTCAAGGAATATGAAGAGGAGAATAAGATGGTGGAGGAGGTGGGTGGAGGAAGATTTGTTTAACGAGGTGGAGGTGGAGAAGGTTTACTGTTGGGTTTTGAGCAATCTAACACTTCCTAAGTGTGCATGCAACCCTAATAAACCTTGGATCTATGTTTGTCTAAATACATGCAAACTAATAATTTTCCAAGGTTTATAACCTATCTAACATGGCATGGGGAACATTTCAATATAAAAGAGTTAGAAGAGATTACATACCTTTTGGTGAGTTTGGTTCTAAGGAGTTTGAGGGCCAAGCACCAATAGTGTGAATGCCTCAAATGGAATCACAAACACCACAAACTCTTGGAACAACTTTGAGAGAGTATACACCTTGTATAAAATCGGCCACACACATGCACACACACACTAGTTCACTAGTTTTCTCTTAGGCTCCATTTCATGCTCCATAAGCATGCTTATATAGTGTGCATGGTTAGGGTGAAACCCTAATAACCCATGTCTTTTCCTTTTCCAAGGATCCATGGGTTAAAAGCTCCATGGATCATCCATGGACTTCCACATAAGCCTAGCCCATTAACAAATGAGTATTAGCCCACACTATATAAAACAAATAGCCCATAATTTAATTAGTATTCCTTTTAATCTCTAAATTAATTCATAATTAATTTAAGACTAAAACTAATTAAATAACGTAACTTCATATTAATATATTATAACTCATAATATATTAATAAACATATGTGTATAACTCTCATAAAATTATCCATAATAGTTTGGATGAGATGCAACCCAAATGGACCATGCCGGTCGGGTCAAGTATATACCAAATAAGTTATGGACTTAGACACCTTATCCAACAGACTCCCACTTGGATAAGTCTAATAACTATATTTGCCTATAACTTCAGGAACCAACCAACAATCGTAGCTCTCGAAAACTCCCTCGAACAATGAAGACTCTGTCGAACTATGAAGCGCCATTTTAGATAAGTGATCACATAATCCTCTGTTCTCATGATATCAGCCGGACAAACACATGGAACTATGTCTTGCTTATTGTCTAGCAGTTGTTTCTCGATTTTCCGATTTGTTTGACGAAGAACTTCACTGAACACATCGGTTTAGTTCTGACCAGGCCTGGTACATGGGTCAACACAAAATCATCGAGGGGCCCAGATATCGCTTCTATTTCTAGAAGGAACAGATAAACTTCGACTGATATGCTTGTTCTACTACTTATTGAATTGTACACAAAGGCACGTTTTATAACATCAAGTTACTGATGCGTTTACGTGCAATCAATGCACAACCAACTCATAGGTAACAACTCATATCTCTAGGTTTAAAGATTTATATGATGTTATCGTCTCACGATCACTCGAGATAAATTCCATGAAGTGATACAAGTGAGCGTGGGTTTATACCAATACTCATAACTTATGAGTACTCATGAATGTTGCAGCAACCATTGCCATGTCTAAACACCTTTAAGGCATCTACAAACCCAATTCATGACAATCTTGATTCATACCTACTTCCGACGTATGATCGATTGTGGAGGTTTGAATAAATTAATTATTCTGGAAGTCAAAACATGCAAAACTGAAACAATAGTAAATAATTGACAATGATAGTAACACTTTACTCATAAATAAATCACAAATTTTATTCATCATCAAACGTCGATTACATTTTACAAGTTTCAGGAAAACTATCTAATCTGTAAAACTAATATCGTCCCTCAGCCCGATGCGTCTCGCATGCTGAAAATGCTTAACCCTCGTCAGTCCCTTCGTAAGGGGATCTGCAGGATTCTCATCCGACGATATCCTCCTTGTCACAAGGAGTCCTTCTTCAATCTTGTGTCTTATGAAGTGATATTTTCTGTCAATGTGTCGGGATCTGCCATGATCTCTTGGTTCCTTGGCTAAGGTAACCGCACTATTGTTGTCACAGAAAATCTCTATAGGTTCCTTAATAGCTGGTACAACTCCAAGGTCTCCGATGAAGTTCTTTAGCCATATCGCCTCCTTCGCTGCTTCACTCGCTGCTATATACTCTGATTCACAAGTCGAATCAGCCACCGTCTCCTGCTTGGAACTCTTCCAAGAAATTGCCCCTCCATTTAAGGTAAAGATCCAGCCCGACTGAGAGCGGAAATTATCCCTATCAGTCTGAAAACCAGCATCACTATACCCTAATATTCTCAAGTCATCACTGCCACCAAGGGTAAGGATCCAATCCTTAGTCCTCCGCAGGTACTTGAGAATGTTCTTTACCGCGGTCCAATGAGCCTTGCCAGGGTTCCCCTGATACCTGCTGACCATGCTCAAAGCAAATGCCACATCAGGACGGGTACAAGTCATAGCATACATGATCGAGCCAACTGCGGAAGCATATGGTAATTGGCTCATCTCAGCTATCTCTGCCTCTGTACTCGGACTCTGAGTCTTACTCAGTTTGGTATTGCTTTGGATCGGTAAATCTCCTTTCTTGGAATTCTCCATGTTGAACCTTTTCAACACCTTATCCAAGTAGATACTCTGACTAAGTCCAATTAGTCTTCTACTCCTTTCTCTTAATATCCTTATCCCTAGGATATAGGTAGCCTCCCCTAGGTCCTTCATAGCAAAGCACTTCCCAAGCCAGGACTTAACCTCCTGCAAGGTTGGGATGTCATTTCCTATGAGTAGTATGTCATCCACATACAGTACCAAGAAGCTAACTATACTCCCACTAGCTCTGACATACACGCAAGACTCATCTTCGCTTCTCAAGAAGCCAAACTCTTTTACCTTCTCATCAAAACAAAGATTCCAGCTACGAGATGCTTGTTTTAATCCATAAATGGATTTCTCAAGCTTGCATACTCTATTAGGGTACTCTGCATTGACAAAACCCTCTGGCTGATTCATGTACACATCCTCAGCCAACTTTCCATTAAGGAAAGCGGTTTTGACATCCATTTGCCATATTTCATAATCATGAAATGCTGCAATGGCTAACATAACCCTAATAGACTTAATCTTTGCTACCGGCGAAAGGTTTCATCATAATCAACACCTTGAGTTTGAGTAAAACCCTTCGCAACCAGTCGAGCCTTATAAGTATGCACTTTTCCTTCCATGTCTGTCTTCTTCTTGAAGATCCATTTGCACCCGACTGTTTTACGGCCTGGTACATTGTCAACCAAGTTCCAAACTTGATTGTCATACATGGACTGTATCTCGCTGTCCATAGCCTCCTTCCATTTAGCAGACTCCGGGCCTGCCATGGCTTCCTTAACACTGCTAGGTTCATCCAAATTTACTAGTGTACTATCACTAATAAACGTATCACCTTCCGTAGTAATATGAAAACCATAATAAAACGAAGGTGTGTTCCTAACCCGTGTGGAACGCCTCGGAGGTACAGACTCGTCAGCTGGATCAACAGGAGTTTCCTCCTCAGGTTGATTGCTAGTGTCTGAGGTTCCTTCACCAATTGATTCTTGAATTTCTTCAAGATCAATCTGCCTCCCACTGTCTCCTTGGCTTATAAATTCTTTCTCGCGAAAGATCCCTCTTCGTGCTACAAAGACCACATTCTCACTGGGTCTGTAGAAGAGGTAACCGAAGGATTTCTGTGGGTAGCCGATGAAAATACACCTTTCACTTCGGGGTTCAAGCTTATCATGAGTTTCACGCCTCACGAAGCTTCGCAACCCCAAATTTTGATGTGGTCCAAATTGGGAACCTTCCCAGTCCACATCTCATGAGGTGTTTTGGTAACCTTCTTTGTAGGGACTAGATTAAGGATATGGGCGGCAGTCTCTAAGGCATACCCCCAAAAAGAGATTGGTAACGAAACTCGACTCATCATAGAGCGAACCATGTCCAACAAGGTTCGATTACGCCTCTCAGCTACACCATTCAGCTGTGGTGTCCTGGGAGGAGTCAATTGTGAGACAATCCCACACTCCTTAAGATAGTCAAGGAACTCGGTACTAAGATACTCACCACCTCGATCGGATCGAAGCATCTTAATGTTCCTGCCCAATTGATTTTCTACTTCCTGCTTGA